CCACTAGTTGAACATTGAAATCCAGATCTAGAATGACATTTCTTGTTCACATTCAAAGCAAAATGGGGTGATGCCCAGAAACTTTTCACAATTGAAGCCATCAAAATCGTACCCCAAGACTTCAAAATTTCCAAATTCAAGAATTATATATAGACACAGAAATGGCTTCAAGCCACAAAAGAATAAAATCGTGTACCAAAAGAGCACCATTAATGGCGAATGCCCACTCCCAATTGCTTATGAAGATTCATGGCTTGCACTAAATTGGATTATTTCTCACTTTTGGCATGAAGCATGGCTTAATAATTATGCTGATTTTGGAATAATCTATTTCGTTATCTGCTCCCGTTCTCCTGCCCGCGGCGGGCAAGTTTATAATGCCCACTCGGAGAGAACCCAACGTGGGGTTCTCACATTTGAAAAGAACCCCACGTAGGGTTCTCCTGCCACATCAGCAGATGGGCAGAATAAGCTTACCCGCCGCGGGCAGGAGAACATTTTCGCTAATTCTATATTAATCTCTAAAAAACCGACGAAATCCACAAAAGTTATCACTTAAAAAAAGTCGCGTGATTTCCACTAATTTAAAGTAGAACGTGCTTGATAAAAAATGGACTTTTGGACTACTCATTTTTAGTGACCCAAGTGCATAATCGTTCCTATTGATAACTTTTATCAACTAAGTTTTAAATGATGTAGCCTCTATTTGATTTGGATAAAAATTAAATTTTTAGTTATGTGATTGAAAAATTGATAGAAGTTATGAATTTCATAAACGATATGGTTAAAAATGAATTTAAAAAAATAAGAATCCTATAGAGTTGGTTTTTGAAGAAGTTGGAAAAAGAAATGAGAAAATTAGCTGCAATCATATTTTTAAAATTTTAATTTCATTAAATAGATATTAAATCTTTATTAAAAAAATAGGGAACACATTAATGTATATACTTAGGTCACAATCGGATAATATAAATGGTCAAATATAGATTATATTACAATCAAACGGCATACAAAATCCATGTTTGAGCTCCGTGTTTTTTTTTTTTTTGGGAAATTAACTTTTATAATAGTGGATTTTTAATAACATATCGTTAAAAAGTAAGAAAAATTTTAAATTTACGTACAAATATTTTACGATGATCGACAAAATAAATAAAAATAAATCCATTGGACAATCATAATTAGAAAGAAAATTGATTGCAAATAAAAGGATGTGAACGGTACATAATAATTCCGCAGCCGGAGAATCAAATCAGGTTACCAGCATCCGGCAAACCTTGCCGGCAATCTTCATCTCCACCAATATTTGAAGCTCGTTTAAAGCGCTTTACCGAAACAGAAACGCGACACACCGGACAATTTGAATGCGAATAAAGCCACGTATCAATACATTCAACATGAAAAGCGTGTGTACAGGAATTCAACTGCCTAATCTCTTCTCCCTCGACAAAAACCGATAAACACACAGGGCACTCGCTTCCGGCAGTTTCTTTTGCACGCGCCTGTTTCCTCACGCCGCAAACCAATTCGAATTCCTTAACGTTGCAGCTCACTTCCCCAGTAGATCCGTCGGATCTCCGGCTAGGTCGCCGGAAAGGATTCCAAGGGAATTTCATAGCAACAAAGAATGTGTAGATTACGAATGGTGTAATTATAACTGCTAACAGGCAAAGGATGGCGGTGCGAGCCGAGATGTCGGAGGGCCGGGACTGCGCGGCCGGGTAAGGAGGCGGAGCGCTTGAGTTGGTGGTGGAGGTGTTGATCATGATAAGGTGTAAAACTTATCTTTTGGATGGGTTTATCTGGTTTTAGAAGCATTAAGGAAATATAGAAGTGATTACCGGACAAATGGTATGGGCCATAAGATAGGAACTCGTGTTTATATTAAAGACGTCCATATTTGGTCCATATTATTTTTTTCATTCACATTCTTTTATTAATTTTCAACCACACATTCTTTCATAAAATAATATTTTTCATCACATTAATAATTTTTCCTTCATTTTCAACCACATATTCTCCATCACATCAACAGTAAAAATACATTTTTACCTTCAAAATGTACACCAAACGGGGGCGTAATGAACAATTGTAGTACCACGGTCTAGAGATATTTGGCTAAGTTCAAAATTTTATTTATAAAACTTATGAACGAGTTAAATTTCAATTTTAATTATATATTTCATACTACCTATAATTTTTATTAATTTTTCAACTATTTATTTCATCAATTTTTATTAAATTTGCTAAAATTTTATCAAAAGGTTTGTCAAGCAACCTCTAAGTAATTCAATGCTTGTTAGGAGACTATTTTTAATAATTTTTGGTCAAATATTTATTTTTTATACCTTTTCGTTGAATTTCTAAATATTTCATATGACTCTACAGCGTATAATTATTTAAATTTTGAAATAATCACTTACCAACATCTCGTAAGAATTATAATTTTTAAAATTTCGAATTAACCGCTCACCAAACATCTCGCGAGAATTTTATAAAAATTAATTATTGGTAGAAATTAAAATAATAAAGTAAGAATTACAGTAAAATAAGTAATTTCTAAAATAACTTTATTGAAAAGAAAATAAAGTAATTTCTAGAAATAACTTTTTTTGAAAGAAATTTAGATTTGCTTGGTAGGGATTAAAATATAAATTTTAATTTAAGTAAAGATCAATAATAATTTTAATTATATATTTCATGAGATTCATAATTTTTTAATCATATATTTTATCAATTTTTATTAAAATTTACTAAAAATTTAACTTTAATCCCAAGGCTTAAATTCAATTAATCCCATGTTTGTTAGGAATCAAAATCAACAATTAATTTCAATCACATATTTATATTTTATAGATCACGTATTATTTTAATTATATATTTTATTAATTTTTATTAAAAAAATAATTTTAATCTCTTTCATGGCCCAATTGTCGGATAATCCACTAAATCCAAGCATCAATAATTGAATATATTGTGTGGCTTGCATCTTCCCCAGTGTCATTTGTCACATGGTCGTAGTCCGAAGCAAAATGTGCGGATATCTTTTCAATAATTATGAGGGGTGTAACTCGTAACTCGTAACTCGTGAAATAAATTTAAATTGTAATTTAGATCTATGAAGTACTCGAAAATTTCTCCAATTGAGAAATACAAAGAAAATGAAAATTGCATTTTTCGATAAAAAATGTAAAAAAATAAAATAAAATAATTACATCCACAAAAGGCAAAAAGTGCATTTAGATATTTTCATTAAAACAACATTTGAATTTATATCCATCGAAATGTAAATGAGAATACAAAGTGATTTTGAATATATCAGTTTAAATTCAATTTTACACCATCATTAAAGATGGTTTATATAGGCTTATTAAACCCATGTTTAGTGTGAATTAAAATTTTATTTTTAATAAAATTTAAATTTTGATAAAAGTTGATGAAATAAGTGCTTGAAAAGTTATAAGTCATATGAAATATGTAATTAAAAATAATTATTAACTTTAACTTAGATGAGAAAGTGGTTTTAATTTATACCAAACAAGGGTTGAGTACTCGTTTGTTGCTTTTTGTAGAAGAATTTTTTGAGAAGCTACTTTAGACCAGTTTTTTCTTAAAAAAATAATATATTGATAGAAATGATGGTTTGCGCTATCAAAATATAATTAAGGAAGAAAATAACAAAAAAATAAAAGGTAGGAATGTTTTTCACAATAATAGTGAAATGTAGGGACATTATGTACTAATTACCCTTTTAATAATTTATTTGAGACTTATTTGCGCTTTTCAAAAAATTTGGGACTATATTTGCAATTAGTTTTTTTCTTTTGTTTTATTTAAAGAAAATTGTATCTCGTCATTTCACAATTTTTAATTGAGAAAATGGATGAAAATGACATTTTGCGTAATGAAAGATGAAAATAAGGGTGAAAATGCCAAAAAAAATGAAAGGTATGGACGTTTTCCACAATAACAATGAAAGGTGGGGATGTAATGTTCTAATTAGCCCCCCTCCCCCTCCTTCTCCTCCCCCTTTTTTTAACTCTATTTATTCTCTTACTCGCACGATTAAAATTTGTTGAATTATTCAAGTTTTCCTTATAAATCTTCTTCAGTGTGGGAGATCACCAGATATTTTATATCGTGCCTAGGGATGACAAAAAAGCTTGCCGACTCGGGTTTGGCACCCAAAAAGCCCGAGTCGGGCTCGATTCCACCGAGCCGAGACTCGGGCCGAGTCCCATTTTGTGCAGCCGGCTCGAGCCCGGGCAGGCTCTTGTCGAGCTGCCCATTTAAAAAAAATTAAATAACGGTAAAATAGTTGCCCGCTAAGGCTCGAGCCGAGCCTCTTTTTTTTGGCCGAGTTTCTAGTTTCGACTTGTGGGTCGGCCCATTGCCATGGCTAATAGTGCCTCAACTAAGAAATCTTCACTAGGAGGCTCTTAATGTAGATTCCGCGATTGTGTTGATTTTCATTCCAATTTCCAAACAAACCCTTATGAGAATTTGCGTTAAGCATCCCCTGAAATTTCAATATTCTACAATCCATCCCTATTTTTTGAATTTGTAAGTGGTTCCTGAATTTTCTAGACTCAGTTAGTCCCCAAATTTTTTTACATTGTGCAAGATGGTCCCTGAATTATAAAAAGTCTGCAAAATGATGCCTGAATTTACTGGGATCTGAAAGTTGGTCCCTGCATGTTCTATAATGTTCAAAGAAGTCCCTACATTTTCTGGTTTTGATGCATCTTCCCTTGAGCTTGTTTGAATCTGCAAAATGGTCCATGTAGTTACTGTTTGCTCCAGGTTGGCCCCTGTATTTTCTGGTTGCTGTATCCATGCGTGTGTGATTGCTGTGAAGTGGTCCCTAAAACTTCATTCTTCTGAAAATATGTCCCCAATATTATCTAGTTGCTCCAGAAAGACCCCTGAATATTTTTATTTTTATTTTTTTTTAAATTAATCTCAGCTTGATGCATCTCGTGCTGGGTCAGTTTGTTGCCTAAATTCTGTCATTAAGCCCCTATAAGTCACGTTTGTTATTAATATTTTAATTTTATAGGGAATTTTTAATTTCATTTTCTAGTCGAATCTCGCATAAATAATTTACTATAACTTCATAGTTATAATTTTCATATATTAAAGTTACTGGAAATCTGGAGTGATTGTGTAATATTCGTAGATGCATTTACCAAACTCCGTAGATTTTTGTGCCTTTTTTATGCTTCCTTTACATTTTGACAAAAAAAAATTTAATTATAATACGATCGAATATTACTTTTATATAACAAATTCTGTAATCCACAATTTTCATTATATTTTTTATCGACACATTTTGTAGGATTCACGATTTATAATTTGCATCTATCTGCTCCCCTGGACATCATCGAAGGACAGCTTTTCTAGTCTCGAGGGAAAAATACAGCACAAAATTATTTTTTTCTGCTTGATTGAATTAACAAAAAAATATGTTGAAAGAGCTAAGTTATAGGCTTTGGTCCAACATAAAAAATCAAAATTTAACTTGAGCCTACATTAATTATTCATCATTTTATTGGAAAAAGTAAATTAAGTAACAACAAAATAAATTGAATATTTGTTCAATAGTTTGTGTGTACTGTTTAGACAGATTATACACTGTAACACTGGAGATCATCTCAGAAAGTTAGCAGGTCAACAAATTGGTAACCCGATATGTAATGGGCCTCACACAACCCAATAAGTAATGGGCCATGCAGAACCCAATAAGTAATGGGTCAGACATAGCCCAATAAGTAATGGATGCACTCCCACTTGATTGAGTCCATCACTTGAACGAAGCTTGTAATAGAATTGGAGTGAGGTGATTTTTTTTTTTAATTTGAACCTCAACCAAACAAAACTTGCACCCTAAAGGCACGTACGTCACACCATGACTAAAGCTCCGGTGTTGAAACAAGATCAGAATCCGGCAATGTAATTACAAGATGATCAGATGGAGGCATAGTATCTGCACGACAAAGGGGACAATTATGATGACTATCCAACCACTTGTCGATACATGCTACATGAAATATATGTGTGCACTCAGGCAATACTCTGACGCCATCGTCTTCCTTAAAATCGCTCAAACACACGGCACATACATCCTGTTTGGATTCTCTAGCGTGCTTCGATGTAATGATCAATTGCACTATTGAATTGCTCGAGTTGGTGGCACTCGGGGCATGTTCTTGTCCAATATTGCGCGTAGTTTGCCTTTGATTCTCGTGATTTGCTCTTCTAGGCCTTGTCAAGCAATGTTGTAACACAAATATACAATGACATAGTGCAACGATTATAGCACCGGCCATGATTCCAAAAACTCCGACCAATATCGGGCTCATTTCGAGTCTCCAAGGTTGTGAAGAATTATCTTGTGCCATGTTTTTGGTATGTATATGTGTATATATAACATAATTTTTCCTTTCTAATTTAATTTCTAGTGACTTATTTATGTTAAACGTTACTGGCACGCCCATCGGTGAAATAAATGACTGCTTTTTTGGAGCCAATGGGCCCTAATTTTGTATTTTTTGGAAGTCTGTCATAGTTATTAGGATTCTTAATTAGTACCTAAATTATATTCTACGTGAACAAACTCGATTGATCAAGTTGGTTTATGTGACACACTCGATTGATTACGTCCTGTTTGACCCCAATTTTTTAAAACTCATTTTTCTCAAAACTTATTTTTAATCACATATTTGATGGATTTCATAACTTTTATAAACTTATCGACAACATTTTTTTTAAAATCAATTTTATCAAAATCTAGTAAAAATCTGATGGTCAAACCAAACGGGGGCTAAGTTTCCGATTGGGCAAGCACTAATGCATTATTTCTTGCATAATTCTCGACATCGTTCTTTAGTAGAAAATATTGTTATGGATACTAATAAAGTGAAGTATGACGATGACTTCATGCTCGTTATGAAAGAAAGTCTAAACGCTCTATGGTGGTTTGACATTTTCTTTTTCTTTTTCTTTTTCTGAAAAAATATAAAATGGGTTTGCTCATTCAACATATCTTTCAATTGGAGTCATTTTGAGCAAAAATAAACCAACTAATACCCATACCCGATTGGGTCGTATTTAAATAATAGGTTTATATTAATCACTTTATTCAAGTTCATACTGATTTTGTGGTGTCTTTCATTGTTTAGGACGAACTCTGGATGTGTATAAAATTGGTCATCAAAGTCCAATCACAATGTCCTGATTTCGACTCGCAATACATTGTGTGCCGTATCATTTGCTATTATACGATGGTTGGTTTAATAATACGGCTTATCCTAGCGAGTTTCTGAAATAGAGATAAAGGAAGGCTTTTGTAATCAATGGAAATATAAGATTTGACGACAAAAATGATGTCGAAAGTGATCGAATGTGAAAGGATTGCAAGATTTGACTATAAAGCTCGCTCAAGTGAGCAAAGCCGAGAAGAACCCTTTTAGTTTGATCCTGCTTGCTCAAGTGAGCTACTTTATTCGCACAATTGAGCAAGACAAAGAGCGGGGCTTTTCTATAAAAATTGCTCACTCGAGCGAGCAGATAAAACATGAAATATGATTTTTGGCGACATTACATTTTGAAGGGAAAATGGCATGTTAAGGATGTCTTAAGGTCTTGAAACTCTTTTCTCTAAAAAAAAAAAAAAGACCTTGACTGAGAGACTTCAGAAGGTTTTGAATATCTAGCAACAAGGCAAAGAGGGAATCACTATGACTTTGGAGTTTACGTCTTCAAGTTTAGAGTTCTTTCCTTTTCTTCCCAAAAATCCGATGAAGGATTTGATTTTTTATTTTTGTTTTGTAGTTCGAATACGAGTAGCTATAACTTCAATAACTAAGACGACGATATAATCTATATTTTGAAAGCATTTATTTCATTCATTCTTTTTTTACTTCAAAATGTGATTTCATGTTGGGTACAATTCACAAGTAGATTACGAGTTAATTATCCCAATAGTCACTGAATTTTACCGAAAATTTCCACTAAGTCACTGAACTTTCGAAACTGTAACTCCATCCATCACTGAACTTTAAAAATTACTCCATTCATCACTGAACTTTGCAAAAAGTTTCTCAAATGGTCACTAAATCAGTGACCATCTGGAAAACTTTTCGCAAAGTTCAATGACCCCGTATAAATTTTTTGCAAAGTTCAGTGATGAATGTGATGGTTTTTAAAGTTCAGTGATTGATGGGGTTACAGTTTCGAAAATTCAGTGACTAACCACGTAGTTTTTAAAGTTTAGTGACCCGGTGGAAACTTTCGTTAAAGTTCAGTGACTATTGAAGTAATTAATTCGTAGATTACTAATTCAAAGTTTACTAATTTCAACCATACTTCCAATTTTTATTTTTATTTTAATTCTCAAAATACCTTTTTCCTATGTTCATGTTGTAACCCAACATGTTACGTTATTACACATGTTCCCTCCAACGCCACTAATTGTAATAAATTGTGTTACATTTATAATACTCAATCTTATTGCAGCTACCACTGTAAACACTTGTGATATAACTTTTTACGTACACCACCACAATCACTTATAACATACACCACCATTGCTGTTGCCAAAATTACTCGTAACGTGCATTGTTAGACTATTACAACCATCACCCATGCCGTTGTAAATGGTAACATACCGTGTAATAACAACATTGTCACTATTATGAGCATTTGCACCACCATCATAGGTGATGTCATTACATCACAACCACTTCTGTCGACACCACGATCGTCTTTTCAAACCAACAAACCACCACAATTGTCAAATCTGACGCCAACTCCACCACCACCACCACCACAATCTCCAAAGTTGCATCACCATTGTAATAGAAATAGGTCACCATCTTAGGTCAAACTTCTGACGCGAATACACATATTCGAATCTAGTTAGCAGATATGAATTTCTACAACCATTTCTACCACACCTACAATTAACCAAACCTAGTGATGTCAATGGGCCGAGCCGAGAATCTAGTTAGCAGATATGAATTTCTACAACCATTTCTACCACACCTACAATTAACCAAACCTAGTGATGTCAATGGGTCGAGCCGAGTCGGCTCGGCCCTTAAAGCCACAAGCTCGGCTCGGCTGGGCTCGTGGAGAAACGAGCCACTAGCTCACGAGCCGAGCAGGCTCGTGGCTCGTTTGCTCGTGGGCGAGCTCGGCTCGGCTTGACTCGTGGCTTGTTAATTTATTTTTTTAAAGCTTTTTTAGCTTTTTTTTTTAATGGTTTTTTCACGAGCTTGGCTCGTGGGCTCGGCTCATGGGTAGGTGCCCACGAGCGCTAGGCTCGTGCTCAGACGAGCCCGAGCGGCTCGTGGGTCGCTACAGTACGAGCCGAGCGGTCGAGCCGACGAGCCGTTCGACTCGATTGCCACCACTAACCAAACCATAACAAACAACCATCATTCGTCTCTCAATCTCCACGACATTGCTCCGCCCCACATCGTTGATCAAGCTCTTTCATTTTTTCAAAGAATTTAAGTCTTTGTTAGAGTCACATTATTCATAAACTCATTTCATTCACACATTATTTCAATAAAATAATTTTACATGTAAATTTTTTTTTTTTTATTCTTTAACCGCACAGTCTCCAAAAAATTCACTATTACTAAATCAATTATCACATGGTACTCAAACGAATTGCAAATCAGGTTTTAGATCAAAAATTGGATCTACAATTATAAAATGAGGTGGTGGCAATGATGACTAGGGTGGAATAAGGAGATGGTACAGGTGATGACAATTGTGGTATGAGAAGGTGGTGGCGTCATCATGCGTAGAAGAGTGTGGTTGTCTCATTTTGTGACGGCGGTGGTGGTTGGGGGCATGGACGGTGGAAGTTAGGTGAGTTTGGAACTAGTCTTTTTCTTTTCTTTTTATTTTATCTACATTTTTACTGTAGTTTCTAAATTGAAAAATGTTGAAAAGTGAAAATGGAATTAGAAAGAAAGAAAGAAAGGTATTTGATATAATTTTCCAGGAGCCATGCTTTATGCGCTGGCTCAATGACCGGGGCATAAATAGGGGAGCCGGGGCTGCCACGGCCGCCCCTCCTCCAATAGGGGGTGCCAGTTGACGTCCCTGTTAATGCCCCGGTCATTGAGCCGGGGCATTAAGGCTTTTCCATTTTCCAGAGTATTCCTTATTGATTTTAATGAGTTCTTACATGTTTGCAACTTTGCATAATTTTTAGGGAAAAATGCAGCGACTTTACAATATTCCCTAATTTTTAAATCGAGTTATTATGTTCTTGGCCTGCTACCCAAACATGCCACGTCAGCGTATTTTCCTCGTATACGTATCTGAAAGACTGAAACAGGAAACTACTATGTGAATCCCTAGGCAAAAGACGCATGAATCAATCGAAACAGGTCTTATCTGAGGATGCAAATCTCTTATCTGCTTTGTAAATTATTATATTAATGTGGATTAAGTTAATTATTAAACTGGTCTTTGTTTAACAAATAATCTATTCATTCATTTATTAATTAATAATTAAGTTTCTATAAGATTCTTTTCTCCACTTTCTTCTCACTAATTATTATCCTTTTTTAATTAAGAAGGTGTAATTCCTAATAAGAATGCACTTTTACCGTAAAACTCACGTGCACTCATCTTCAAGGCACGTTGCGATAGAACTGAATTATAAATAATTGAAATGATTGGATAAAATACCGATGAATTGATATTCATTGTTACTAATACTTGATACAAGTAAAATACCGATCGATTCTTACAAACAAAGATCTAGAATTCAAATTTACGATTACCTATTTATGAAAAATATGCATTCTTTAATAAAAATTAGAATTTTATTCAGAGCTTGTATGCGAGAAATTTTTTTAAAATATTTTTTTTCTTAAGCCCCTGTTTGGTGCACATTTTTAGCTAAGAATGCATTTTTTTTTATGTGATGGGGAANTTTAGCTAAGAATGCATTTTTTTTTTATGTGATGGCGAATATGTGGTTGAAAAAGAAGAAAAATTATTGATGTGATGGGAAATATTATTTTATTGAATAATGTGCGGTTGAAAATGAGAATAGAAAAAATAATGCAGTTCAAACAGCAGTTAAAATTAATTTTAATCACATATTTAATGAAATTCGTAATTTTTTCTCTATTTTTAATCACATATTCCCCATGAATTTATTTTTCACTTGAAAAAAATTCATCCCAAACAAGTTCGTCTCGTCCCGTCTCATCTCGTCTCATAATAGACCGCCCATGATCTTTTTGTGCTTATAGTATAATTTATTTAATGTATTATTGCACATGCAAGGTAAGAAGGACAATAACGTGGAAAGGCAATAATAAATAATCCCATTTATTTAACGTTCTTAAACACCTTTTTAACTTTAAGAAACATTGATATTCAAAGTATAAATCGAACTAAAAACCTACCTCCACTCTCTAAGGTTTGGCTTTCATAAAGGGACGACATCACGGACGACATCACGATGATTATGCTTAGGGTCAATTTGGTAGGACTTTTAAAAAGTCAAAAAATATTTTCAAAATTAATAAATTGTTTGTTGAACATATTTAAATAATTTTCTGAAAGTGTTTTGTCTGGTTAGATGAACTTTTAAAAATAGTTATCCTAAAATAACTTTATTGAGAAAATTTTCTATAAGAAGTAAAAGTATAATAGAAATTTTTATCAAACGAATCCTTAATATTGTTTAGTAAACAATAAGCATTGAAACTTGCAAGTAACAATTTTCAATTATTTGTTGGACTCTATTATAGATAGAATCGATCTCCTTGTCCACAGTGGACAGGAGTTATGATGTCCATTCGTCGATGTAACGTTATCATGTAAAAATGTCAAATCTTTTTCTTTTATTTGTAAAAAAAGAGGCGATTGACCCACAGACGTGACGTAACATAACTCCTGTCCACAGTGGACGAGATCAGATTCGATATTATAGATATTTGTTTCCATTAATTTGATAGTTATTTTGTGAACACTTTTGTGCTTGATCACGTCTAGACACGTGGATAATTTTGATACATGATATGAAGTTCCACTATGATTTTTGACAATTTAGATAAGTACTTTGATTTACTGTAATGGAAGAACTATCCCCACTTTAAATGCATGTTCCTTTCCCTCTATTGGAAAATACAAGAAATAATTAATAAATTTAAATATAAAATATTTATTTTACTTGTTGACTAAAATACTTCAAAATTATCGAAACTCGATTGGTCTACAACAACAATAATAATAAAATCAAATATTTGAATTCCAAACGTGAAGCCATTTAATAGATAAATTTGCATATTGATAAGATTAAAATTAGATTTTTATAAGATTTTGATAAATGTTGATAAAATGTGTGATTGAAAAATCGTGAGTTTTATAAAATATGTTGTTACACTCATAAACGGAAAGTGACACGTGGCACCATATTTTAGCAATGAGACCAGTCTAATTAAATCATGGTATATTTTCATAGCCTCCGACGTGGATTCCAAGGCCTTGACTTGTTCCGAGGCCATTGTTGTTAACCAAAGTCACGGTTCGGTGGACATACACTATTCGAGGCCCCTTTGTTGCAGCTAGTGGAGATCCACGTGAAAAGATATAGCAATGATGAGGATCTTTATTTTAATGATTGACGTGATTTTTGTGTAAAGTACATTTGTGTTTTATCTTGTCAATATAAGAGTATTTAATGTTTTGTAAGGTTAGAAGAGTCAACTTGATAGTTAGGACTTGATGTCTTGGCCGAGGAAATGAGGCCACGTGTAACTTGATCCAAATGTCACCATTTGTTTTGCAACACTATAAATACCCCCACCATATAATATAATAGGGCTAATAAAAAGATTTGGAAGAAAAATCTAAACACTTGGAGCAATATATCTCCCTTTCGTTTACAAAGTGTGCTCCTACAACATATTTCCTACCACAAATCGTGCTTTATCGGTTGGTTTCTTATACAATCGTGTTACATAAATCTTGCCGGAAGTCCGAACGAAGACATCTCGTATCATTGAGCTATTTCCATGTTTAGTTTCTGGAGTCATCTTGACCGTTGATCGGTATTAACGTGTCGGATCAAACTCGCGTGTGTACGAGTGAGCCCGACATCTATTGGCAACATTTTTTGAGGTAATTAATTTTAACTTAAATTAAAATTTTAATTTTTATCAAACAGGTTCAATATTTCAGATGATTGAAGCAACTTTATGAACTATTGAAAATGTATAAAGAATGAGTCAACTTTGATGCTAAAATTTGTACGTCAACTTTGATGCTAAGAGGATAAGAAAAGAATTTGGGGAAATGAATGAGTCCATATCACGGGACGGACATTGATAAGGTCCAATCCTCATTAAGAAGCGTACACTACTTGACAACGTTTATGTCCCCGACTATGACTAGTAAAATTTTTTTTTCTGACCCCAACACGAGCGTGTCATTTTAAAAAAAGTTGTTGAATGGGCCAAAGGCACAACTGTTACGAATAGATCGTTCAACATAACTTCTGAGTATTTAACTGTCGATTAAAAGCGAAGTATGAGATAAATTTGAATAATCCAAATAATGTATATTATGGATAAATCTATATGTACATAATGGATTACACATGTCTATGTGGAAGAAATTCTGCTGTGGATGTAAAGTGTGGAAAAGTAAAAAATTGTAGACTACTGATAGATGCGCGCCACATGTCAACTATGTAATATATTATGTAAATGATTATTTACTTGTAGCGTAGTCCGTATATTATTGAGCACCGAGCATGGTTGAAGAATAAAACTGATGACAAATTTTGTCGTCTGTCTATACGAATTTTGTATTAGTCGAATGCTCGAAATATGTCTTTTTTTTTATTATCTTTCATGAGTTAATAATATGAGCTTATATCAATTTAAAGCTTTTCATTTTTTTTTAAATATTATTATCCAATTCATCTCAAACATCATCTTTCTAAAAATAAAAATGTATTCGACTTTGATATTAACATTTCAAAGAGATCAATTGAAACAAGTAACTGGCTCAGCACTAAATGCCAATGCCTCTGAACTCAACCAAAATTAGAGGCATTTAAAACAAAAACCAACAAAATTTGTACACTACAATCTCTTGCCCCAAATTCCCCTATCCAATTCTTAAAAATTTGAAGCGATCAATCGAAGTGGATTCAGAATTTGACTAAAAATATTTTTTTAGACCAAACTAATATATAAAAACAAATTTCTAAAAAGGTTATTGGGTCCGGACCAATTCTCCTAAATCCGCCTCGGCAATCAGTTCAAGATTAAATTTAAATATAGCTTTAAGGTAAATTTGACGAGCGTATTCAATATGTAACGTGTAAGTCTCAGTTTGACCCCTATTCCTTAAAAAAAAATAAAAAAATTCCTCTAAACTCATTTTTCACTATACATTTCTTGGAATTGATTTTTTTTTTAATCTACTTTTCAACCATATATTTTATTAATTTATATCAAAATCTATCAAAAATTTGATTTTATCTAAACAAAAAAGGGACTAAGTATATATATTACCAATTATGTATCTATAATTTTTAATCTAAATTAGAGTATTTTTAAGAGATTCTCTATTTTTAAAGAACATATTTTATCATTTAGAGAGTATATATAAATTTAGAGAGTTAAAATTTTGAAACGATATCTTTATAAATTAACACTTAATTTTATTATTCCCAAAAAATATTTATTATTTTTTTTATCTTTTATTTTAATTAACTTTTCTTTAGATTATTTCATTATTTCTTATATTGAAAATTGAAACACTTTGAATGCATTCAATTATAGAGAGCGAGTTTGATTCTGGATAGTTAAACCTACTATCTGAATTAAAATGTTAATTTAAAGAATATCTCAAAGCATGATTTTAAAGGTTGACTATTTAGAATAGAACAGTATATTTTGGAGATGTTCTCAAAGTCTTTTAATATAAGTTGTGTTGATAAGTGCTAAATAATTGAATTGGGAACAGCCAAGAAACGATCCTTCCAACCCAACATACATCCACATTAGGTCCAAATTGCCCAGTATTATTCAGTGTAGGCTTTTTCCTCTTATCACACAGAGGCCAGATTTGAGCATATATCTATATCTTTCTTGCACATTCACATTTTCACCCTAGAAAACAAAACAACCCAAGAAACGCGTTTTCCTTTATCATAATGTTCTCTACCACATCGACACGCAACAATTTGGTCTATCTTCTGACAAATTTCTCGAGGCTTTTGTTGGAAAGTTGAAGGCTTGTTAATCGAAAAAAGGCTAAGAGGGTTTCTTTTTCAAATTGTTTAAGGGTGATAGATTGGAGAGAAGAAGATGAGGATTGTGCGGACCATGGATTCTTCAGAGTGTCCAAGTCTTTGTGGATTCTTGGTTGTGGAAGCTTATCCCAAAAGCTATTCTTCCAAGATCCCCTCTGATTTGGTCCTTTTCTTGGGCCTTGGCTTCATAGATTGGTAATATTATCTTTCTGTTGTATCTTTATACCTACACATATATAGATATAGAAACAATTAGTCGTTGTTTGAAAAGAAAGATACATAATTCTGGACACCTTTCTTTTAGGAATTTCATAGAGTGGCTATGTATTTGATTGGTCTGATTTACTGTCTCCCACCTGCCTTTGGAGGGTTCAAGGAGATTCTTGGGTTGGGGTTAGATATGGTCTGTGCCTAGGTGTTTCTCGGGGGTTAAAGTCATATTTGCTGAATTTTTCATTTGGGTTTCATTTCTGATTCTTGATTTTCTTCGTACTCCTGTTCTTATTCTCAATATTAATCTTTTGGGAAATAATTGAGTTTTTGCATTTATTTCCCTTTTGACATAGTGTTTTTAAGATTTAGTTGAAGTAATAAGTTTAAGGGTTGATGGAGGTGGAGATTTGTAGAAGGGACTGATATGATGGAGTTGTTTTTAAAATTTGGTTATTTGTCAAAATGGTTATTCAGGTGAAATTTGTAGATCCACCTTCAGAAATTGTTCTAACATTAAGGAATAGTCTATGAGATGGGAGATAATCTTCTCACAATGTCAATGGAGAATCATCACCCTTCAACCCACTTGTCTATGGATTCAAGTGCCTCGTCTTCACACGATGAATTAGACCTTGAGATGTATGGCCCAGTTGTTTTAACCCGTCCACCGGATATCAATTTACCCCTTTCAGTCGATCGAAGCCCCCCTCTGCAGCAGCCTTGGAACCCTGAACACTGTGATATTCTTGATGTTGGATTAGGTTCCCAAATGTACGAGACCGAAAGTTTTCTTAGTGTCCCTAAAGTTGGGAGGAAGTGTGCAAAAAGGATTGATAGCATCTGGGGAGCTTGGTTATTCTTCAGCTTTTACTTTAAACCAGTACTGAATGACAAATCAAAAACAAAGATCATACGTGACGGTAATGGAGTTTCTGGGTATGATAAATCTGATCTCAAGACTGATGTTTTTATGGTTCAGCATGATATGGAGAATATGTACATGTGGGTTTTTAAGGAAAGGCCTGAGAATGCTCTGGGTAAGATGCAGCTCAGAAGTTATATGAACGGGCATTCTCGTCAAGGAGAGCGTCCCTTTCCTTTTAGCGCTGATAAAGGTTTTGTTCGGTCTCATAGGATGCAAAGGAAACATTACAGGGGGCTCTCGAATCCTCAGTGTGTTCATGGGATTGAGATGGTTGCATCACCCAATCTCATGGTTCTTGATGAAGATGATCGAAAAAGATGGACCGACCTCACTGGAAGGGAAATAAACTTCACCATTCCATCAGAAGCAAGCGATTACAGTTCATGGAGAAATCTTCCAAATGCGGAGTTTGAACTTGAAAAGCCACCTCCTCCAATCAAGAGTAATCCTAATTCAAACTCAAAGAAATTGCTAAATGGATCTGTGCTAAACCTGTCTACTCAACCATCTAACCATGGCAATGGGGATGCAATGGATCTATCACCTGTCAGTAGCAAAAGGAAGAAGGATTTCTTTTCACAGGGGAATGATGATGATGGTTATCTGGCTGTAAATCAGCCTTCTGATCGAATCCCTGATTTGGAAGTTCACCCAAATGGACCACACTGGCTGAATGAATTTAACGGGGTGCTGAGGAATATTTATGGACCTGTTACGGCTGCCAAAACAATCTACGAGGATGAACAAGGTTATCTGATCGTAATGAGCTTGCCCTTTGTAGATCTTCAGAGGGTGAAAGTGTCCTGGAGGAACACACTAACACATGGAATCATCAAGGTGTCTTGTACAAGTACGTCTCGCGTGCCATTTATCAAGAGACATAACAGGACTTTCAAGCTTTCAGATTCATATTCAGAGCACTGTCCCCCTGGAGAATTTGTCAGAGAAATTTCACTTTCAACCCGAATTCCTGAAGATGCTCATATAGAAGCATATTATGATGGACCAGGAACTGTGCTCGAGATTTTGGTACCCAAGCTGCGTGAAGGACCAGAAGAACATGAAGTTCGTGTTTGCTTTCGCCCTCCCCATGGGAGCAAGGATCTTATGTTGTCCTAAAGACGTACTTGGTGAAATGTGGTGGATGTTTATGGATGACGCGTCATTGTTCATTTAACTTTGCTCGTAAAATGATGTAATTATTGGAACATAAATTATTATGTTATGTTGGGTGCTTGTAGCACCGAGTGATATGATTTTAGGTCCCGTCCTAGGCGTCTGATTAGCTTTGGTTGTACCTGCCTTTGCCATTGAAATTTTATTTGGAACATCGGTTACTTATTCATGTTTCTGCCATCTATTAGTTGGAACTGTTGATATGTATTGGTTTGTATATTGGATATTATATGTGCACGTTAGGCATGTGGGAACTTTTGCCCTTTCCAGCAACACTGGATTGGAACATTCCTCTTTATGTGATGATGTATGATTGCACTGAATTGTCTTTTTCTAAAAATCAATATTATTAATAACTAAGTTGTGCCATTTGTTTAATGATCTAACTGCTTCCGGTTCAAAAATCACTCTGTGGAATATGGTATAATTGACTACATGGTTGAGCAACTGTTGCCATTTACAAGAAAATTGGCAATATTAGAACGAGGAAGCTAAAAATCAAAATTAACTTTCAGTACAGTACCAAGCCAATTCTAGAGATAAAACGTTACCATTTCTGCATGCTGCATCAGATATCAAGAATTAATACAAAATGCAGATGCATGTTAATCCAAAATCAGGCATGTTCAAGCCTAATTGGAAACAAAATGAGCAATGTCTGCAGAAATAAAACCGATCTGTTTAATAAAATGATAAAATCAACAGAGGGATCACTGCTAGCTTAATCGACCTTCTCAGTCTTGGGATGAGCTCCGCTACCACAGCTGGGAGCAGGACCACCATCTTCCATGGGACCAACCATATCGCCACCTGCACCCTTGTACATCTTTGCATTGAAGGGATTGCAGATGCTCTCAATTCCTTCATCTTTTCCTCAAACTCATCTGACTCGGTAAGCTGGTTGCTTCAAGCCATTGATGGCTAGCTCAATAGCATCCTCAATTTTCTTCTTGTCATCCGCAGGGAGCTTGAAGGCAATCTTCTCATCCTTAATAGTGTTCCTCATATTGTATGCATAGTTCTCCAAGGCATTCTTTGCCTAGACTTTCTTCGTGTTCCTCGTCCTCAGACTTGTACATTTCAGCTTCCTGAATCATCTTCTCAATTTCTTTCCTTGGAAAGTCTACCCTTATCATTGGTAATAGTGATCTAGTCCTTCTGCCCTGTGGTCTTATCCTTTGCAGAAACATTCAAGATACCATTGGCATCAATGCCAAAGCACACAGTAATCTGAGGAACTCCCCTAGGAGCAGGAGGAATGCCAGAGAGCTCAAATTTACCAAGAAGGTTGTTTTGTCCTGGTCCTTGTTCTCTCTCCTTCATAGTCCTGAATCAGGACACCAAGTTGGTTGTCCGAGTAGGTAGAGAACACTGCTCCTTCTTGGTTGGAATGGTGGTTTTTCTAACAATCAACAGTCATGACACCACCAGCAGTTTCCCGACCAAGGGAGAGAGGAGTGACATCCAATAGCAGGAAGTGCTGCACCTTCTCATTTCCCTCAACACTCAAATTGGCATCCTGGAAAGCAGCACCATAAGCAACATCATCATCAGGGTTGAAATTCTTGCATAGTTCCTTCCCACTGAAGAAGTCCTGCAACAATAGCTGGACCTTGGGAATCCTAGTGGAACCACCAAGAAGGACAAGGTCATGGACCGTACTTTTGTCCATCTTAGCATCAAGCAAACACTTCTCTACTGGTTCCATACACTTCTGGAACAAGTCCATGTTGAGTTCCTCAAATCTGGCACGAGTGATGGTGGAATAGAAATCAATGCCCTCGTAGAGTGAGTCTATCTCAATGGTGGTTTGGGTGGCGGATGAGAGATTTCTCTTTGCTCTCTCATAAGCTGTCCTCAATCCCCTGAGAGCCCTGTGGTTACTAGGGACGTCTTATCTTGTTATTTCTGTTGAATTCTTGAACCAAATGACTCACCATTCTGTTTTCAAAGTCTTCAATGCCAAGATGAGTGTCACCAGCAGTTGCCTTCAGCCCTTCACCCCAAAGATACCCTCCTCGATGGTTAGAAGAGATACATCAAAAGTACTATCTCCAAGATCAAATATCAGCACATTCTTCTCACCAACACTGGTTGCCTTCTTATCAAGACCACAGGCAATGTCAGCAGCTGTTGGTTCATTGATGACACTCATCGCATTCAGACCAGAAATTACACCTGCATCCTTGGTTGCTTGACGCCGGGACAGTGACCACAGCATTCTTAACGGTTGAACCAAGGACTGCCTCAGCAATTTCTTCATCTTAATTAAAACCATGGAAGAGATTTCCTCATCTGCAAAGTGCTTCTCTTCACCCTTGTAGATGACTACAATCATCGGTTTATCACCAGGTCCAGAAATGACTTTGAATGGCCACAACTTACTGTCACCTTGTACTTCGGAGATTTGTAATTTCATGACACCACCATGGTTGGTGGATGTTGCTAAGAGGAAGGCTGGGCGTGGGTTGGGTTGGATTGGTTTGGTTTTGAGTCCAAGCCAAATCCAACCCAACATGTTCAGTTTAACAATAATTCAAACTTAAACCAACCCATGTACAGTTGAAACTCAACCCAATTCAAACCAACCAAACTCAGATTGTTTTGGGTTGGGTTGATCGGTTTGGACTTAATTTCAATTCAAGTTGGACAATTTTTTTGTGCCTAATGGTTGAGACATTTTTCGTTGAATTTGAATAATTTTTTAAAAGCTTGATTCAATTTCAGTTTGAACCAATTTCAGTTACATTAAAAATGGTGATTTGAAAGACATTAAGTCGATTGAAGTTGGATCAATACTACCATTTCAAGTCTATTTGAAAGGCTCGAGTCAAAAATCACGTCAAAAAATCAAGTCGAGAAGTCGAGGCACGAGCATCAATAAGAGGCAGAATAGACGTGAGGCATAGGAGAATTTTGATAATTTGGTTTTAGGTTTTAATTACTAATTTTCTTTTTAATATTTTTTAGTTTATTGAGTTGGGTTGAGTTTGATTGTGTTTTAATAGGTAACCCGAAACTCAATCCAATTTGACCTAAAATTTGATTTCCTAACCCTAACCCAATTCAATTGAACTAAAAAAACCAATCCAAATTGGTTGGTTTGGGTGGGTTGATTGATTTAACTGACTTGAATTGATTTTTATCCAGTCATAACTAAAAGAATGACCAATTATGTATTATTATTTAATTTTTGTGACTAAATAGGTCGAAGCAATACTTCAATTACCAATTCGAAATTTCATTCAAACTTCAGTGACCATTCTGGGGAATTAAAACTAATAGAGTTGTACGAGAGTGCATAAAAATGCTGCAAAACAGACTCACTATAAATAGACTGACTACTTCCCCAATAAAGATATTATTTTCGTGAAATCATCAAATTACAAATATGGATTGCCGTGAATTGCCGCGCCGCGGCCGTAGCCGTACTGAACCCCTCCCGCCCGTCATCCCTTCGCCCCCACCACCTCCTTCTCGGCCACGTGGCCGTCCTCTCAAATCCCAGAATCCCAGCGATCCGCCGCCTACGCCCAAAGCTACAGACACGAGCACAACTCCCCCGTCTTCTACTTCGACTCCTGATAAAATAGTGAATGACAGCAACAAAAACAAGAGCAGCGAGGCACCAAAGTCTAACTTTCAGAAAACAGTAAGTTTGAATTAGAAAACGTCATGACATTTGGTTACATCATAATTATCATTTCTTAATATTTGGGAAAATGTGAAGGTGTGTTTGGCTGATTGGTGGTTGGTTAAGTCGGAATTAGGCTCCAAAGGAAAACGACTTGCTGTTGCTGGATTAACTTCTCGAGAGTACGTTTTTTAGACATGTTGCTTTTTTTGTTGGTTCCTCTGTATCGACCTTTTCTAATCAATCAAAATTTTAGCGAATTGCCATTTATTTTGACGCCCGGGTTAAGTATAAAGTTTATTTTGCGAGTGGGATTAATAATAAACTTAATTATAGATTTTTACATGCATAGAGGACAGAGAATGGTAAATTTTAAGTCATTTCGAGAAGTTCTTTTGATTCGAAGAGATTTTTGTTTTTTAATCTGTTTATTGAGATGTTCATGTTCTGTCAAGTGTTAACACTTTGATGGAAGAAAGAAAGGACCTGTTATGTTTTACAAACTAAAATCTTCCACTCGTCAAGTATCCTTGATGCTGGTGACATGCTTTCCGCATTTGATTCGAGGATCAAATGGCTGGACTTATGAATGTTGTCTTATACAATTTTTTCCCGTGGAAGGCCTGGAGTTTAATGCTAAATCCTTGTCTCTACATTGTGGAAGATGCACATTGTTATATCCAATCGTAAGTATGGAGTTTTGGTGCAGCAGAAATTTAACGGAACGATGAACACGGCTAAAACCATGTTGATTTAATGCCCATTGAATTTTAGAAATCACGGAGTACCAAATAATTGTCTTTGATTTACAAATTCGGCGATTCCGAAGTTGTAAAGAAATCGGGAATCTCAAACTTCTATAAGATTTATTCAATATCAACCTGAAAACAACAAAATCCTAAAAAAAAAAAAAAAAAGAAAGCTACTAAAATTAATTGAAACTATTCGACTGCGTCTAGTGTCCTCTACACTATTGTCAGCATTGCTGTAAATTGCTGTTTACTAGCAGATTTAACTTAGGGGTCTGCTTCTTCCTGGGATAGAAGCAACATGGTTGGTGATGCATAAATTTTCCTCATCTATGCCTTCATCTACTTATGTGCAATAGGCAACAAGCCATGCGAGTCTTTTCTTCTGCGCCGATCCTTCGGAGATACGATGTCTTTACTCTTGAGACCACTGACGGGATATGTGTTATCATTAAAGGCTTCATGAATAAGGCTCGCACAGTAGAAAATGGGTTTCCATCTGAGGTATGTCTGTACATTTTCTTTTCATGTCATTTAACTAGTGCGGTTAATTTTTTCAATAATGTGATAGAAGGTTTTCTATACTTGAATTGGAATTCTCTTGCTCTGGAGTTTGTCTCTTAGTTGACTATATGAAGGTGCACCATTCCCTCTCTTGAAAATACACGTCAAATTTCCCTGCATGAAAAAGTTGTTTTACTTGAAAATGGTTTCACGTGGTTGAGAGTTTTCTCTTGCATGAAGATGTTTGATTTGTGTGAGACTCCAAGTTAATCTACTATAAAATACCACTAAATTGATCAATACTCGCGCATGCATCTTCATTTTCACAATAATTTTCATTATCCCATTACATGCACAAAAACGTTTGCAGATAGTGAGTGAGTTGGATATAGAAAGTGAGAAAAAAGAGAAAATCCTGAAGTCAGTCGAAGCTGTTGTTATCACAATCATGTTACGGTGATTTGCGCTGCTGTTCGAGGCTGATAATGGAACTTCAGGGGCTTTGATGTTGGTGATATTGTGTAAAATTAGCTACTTACTCTTTATATTATGGTGTCGATTGAAATGGGAAGACATTTGAGCAAGTCAAAATTTTATATTTTCCTTAGAGAATAGTATTTATACTATTGACTGACCTTTGAAGTTTTGAATTTAAGTTTTGGGAATTCATATTTTTAGACTGGACTAAACTTCGGCGAATTGGACCAGTAGTTTAATATTACGTAGCTTGTGTATTGTCTTGTAATAGGCGTTGCACTCCCTTTATTTGTTAGCTTACTGAGTTTTAATATTTTAATCTATAGCTGCCATGTTGTTAATAGGGTCTAAATGGGGATCAATTTGGGTCATGCAATTTGAATAACAGCTTGAAAGTTAATATCGTTCTTCACATTTTGTGAAGCAGACAAGTATTAGGTTTGTATTAAATACCATAACTAAATATTGTGAATGATCTTTCTCGTCAATAATGTTAGTAAGAATGTGAAGTTGTGGTCTAAGTTGATTCTTTGCAGGATAGTCATTAGCAGTTACAACTTGGAAGTAAGCTGTTTGTACCCTGTAAACTTTTGCCACAACCACACATTGCACCTTGAATTTTAAATTTGGGTTGCTTGCTTAAAATTGCTAAAACTGTCAAATTAATTATGCAAAGAAAGCCTGTATCAATTCAAGAACTACCTTTCGATCTTCTATTTTATGGTACAAGTTATTTCTTCGACCAATACCCTTAGATTCTTGGCAACTTGTTGCATCATTTCATCATTCGAGAGACAGTTAGACTTGTGAGGATAGACTTATTTTGGAGAAATCCAGTACAATAAATGTTGGCATTTCAGTGGAAAAAGTTACATCAGGTAGATCACTGTGGTTCATTGAGATGTGGTTTGAGTAATGAACAAATTGGTACTGTTGCAAAGTGGAAAGTGGATTCAGTTAACATTCCTGTACAGTTTCTTTTCTTGTTGCTCTATTTCTGCCTATATATCAATCTATAAACCGTCAAAATAGAATAAACTTTCGGCACATTTATTTAGATTTGTGCTATTCTTGTCATCTGTAAGTGATAATGTTGCAGTAATATGTAACAAGGCTTGAGCACACATATTCAAAACATCTTAATACTGCTAAATGGCACTTAGTTTCATAAATTGCTGTATTATAGTTCATTTGGAATCTTGGTTAATGTATTACTCACTTGAACAGGTTTGTAACCACTTTATTTTTGGGTTTCCTCCTTACTGGGAAGAATATGCTGAAAAGTGCATGGCTGAAGACTCTCCCTCTAAGAATGTTTCAGAACATATTCTAACAAAGTTATCTCCTCGGCCAGAAAGTATGTGAAAGTCTTTAGCCATTTTGGATGGCAAGAAGTTGCTGCAAAAGTTTATTCTTGTAGAAGCCAAATATTTTTAAAGTTCTTTCACTGATCATTATTTCTTTTTCGCTGTGCTGAATTTTGCAGCAGTAGCAGGTACTGGAGATTCTAGAAACAATATATTTAAACAAGATAAGAAGTTCGTAGGTGAAGAAGCACGTGTAGACAGTCTCAACAAGGATTTCAGATTGATGCTGACTTCAAAGGAGGACAAAATGGAGATCAAGAGCATACTAAAAAGCAGAAAGAGAAAATATTCAGCTGTCAGTTCATCCCAAAAACCTAGCAGTGGTACTGGTGACAATCTGGTTGGTCTTGATGGTTCAAGTGGGTCCAGCATTGCTCCTGGATGTCAGGAAAAGAAATCATCTTCTAAAGACTGCACTATTGAAAATACCAGGACTTTGGATATATCTGGAAATTGTCTTGTCCAGCAATTGCCCAATATGGTTGAATTTGCAAGGGGCAAGAGCTCTTCAGAGGGGATTTTAAGTCATTATGAGGCTGGATGGTCAACAAGTTCAACAAGGAAATTGGAGAAGAAACACGAGGATTATCATATGTTAGTGAGGACC